CCTTCCCCCCCGGGGCCGGGGCGGGGGCCCGCTTCCCCGTGACCCGGCCGCGGGCCGTGGGCTGAGCGTGCCGTGACAGCCCTGCCGCCGCCTGCGCTCGGCAGAGCCCTCCGCCCGGCCCTGCCTGCCGGGCGCGGGTCCGGGGGAGGGAAGCTTTCCCCTCCCCGGTTTCCCGGCTCATCCCATTAACCTTACGGCAACCTCAGGGCTGAGCTCCGGTTCCCTTCTCCGAAAGGGGGAGGCGGGAGAGCCCCGGCGAGGCGAACCGGGTTTCCCTGGGGTAGCTGCAGGATGGGGAGGTGTCAGCCGAGCGGGCTGTGGGCTGAGGGTGCTGAACAGAGACCCCCCCCGTCTCTCCAAAACAAAACCCTGTCAGGCTGGCTGCCTGTGTTTCCGCCGGCCGGGTGGGAGAGGCAGCAAGCGTGGCACATTTCGGTGGTAACTGGTGTATTTCATGTGGCATTTTCAGAAGCAAAGTAAGGGCATGGGGCTGGGTGAAACTGAATCATAGCATGGTTTGGGTTGGAAGGGACCTTGAAGATCATGGAGTTCCAACCCCCCTGCCATGGGCAGGGACACCTCCCACTAGACCAGGTTGCTCAAAGCCCCATCCAGCCTGGCCTTGAACCCCTCCAGGGATGGAGCTGCCACAACTTCTCTGGGCAACCTGTTCCAGTGCCTTACCATCCTCAAAGTGAAAAATTTCTTCCTACTATCTAATCTAAATCTACCCTCTTCCAGTTTGAACCCATTCCCCCTCGTCCTATCACTACGTGCCCTAGTAAAAAGTCCTTCCCCAGCTCTCCTGGAGGCCCCCTCTAGGTACTGGAAGGCCACAATAAGGTCTCCCTGGAGCCTTCTCTTCTCCAGGCTGAACAGCCCCAACTCTCTCAGCCTGACCCCTGAAGGGGCCTCGTGTTCCAGCAGGCAAGCACCCACCTTACTGCGGGCTGTGGCTGGCAGCTGTCACGCTGGGAGTGGACGCGCTGAGAGGTTGCGGAGGTTTGCTTGGGTTTTGGTATGGGCACCATTTCCGTTAGTGACTTGGATGTACTTGTATCACACCATCAGAGCGTGCTGTGCCACAGGGCAGGCTTGTCTGAACACAGGAGGGTTTGAGCGGTAGAAGTTAATCCAGTAAAGCCAAGTACCGCAGGCTGTGCTCAAAGAGCTCGCTGTCCTGGCGCAGCAGGGTGCCGGTGTGCATGATGCAGGAGGTGCAGTGGGATTGTACGCGTGGGGTTTTGGATGCCGTGCACTGGAAAGGAGCCACCACTTGGGAGAAACCTCAGGAGGCATTTGGAGAGGGTGACATGTAAGGGACAGCCAGAGGGACTGGATTCCTTTTAGAGAAGAGAAAGGGAAGCTTTCACATCTGTCAACATCTGCACATATCTCTCAGGTCTGTCTTGATACAAGAGGATGTTCAGCCCTTCTTACGTTCCTCCCTGTAGATGAGAAGTAAGGGAGCCTTAGCAGAGATACTGGGGAAGAAGCTCCTCAACAGCAGGTCTAGTGGCACAGGGGCAGGTTTTGTGAGGAGTCAGCTGAGCCTCCTCCAGGGCAGAGGGGGCAGATGTCAGAGCAAGTGGTGCAGCTCATCTGACCTGGATCTTCAGGTACACTTGATCCTCACTGAGGGGTGGGGGTATGGGTTAGCTGCTCTCTCAAGCTGCCTTTTAGCTCTCAGGATTTAAGAAATACTTTAGTAATTGCTCTGTAATGTTCTAAAGCCTGGCTTTGGCTGGCAGCCTTGCCTGGCACCCTTTGTATAACTTGATCTTCTAAACAAATCCCCAAATGTCACAACTAAGTGCATGAAGCAAGGCTGGCTGTCCTCTTGCCTTGCCCTACAGAGACCATGATCAGCGCAGCAAGCTGAAAGCTGCAAAATAAGCCTGGGAAGGGGGTATGAACCCCAGTCCATCTCGGCTGCTGGAAGCTGGGTGAGGCCTGAAGACTCCCATGTAGCTTGCAGTGGCTTTGTTGTTTGTCCTGAGAGGTGTGTAGTTGTTCATGGCTTGGCGCCGTATGGCCAGTTACAGAATCACAGAAATCACAGTTGTTCTTCTTTGCCTTCTTTAAGCTGAGTGAGATCAGGGATGACAGCCCATCTCCAGCTGCAGAGTGGCACTGAGGCAGCTGGGATTGCCCTTCCCTCGTCGTGTGCCTCCGGATGGCAGCGCAGATGCTGGAGTGCTTGGGGTGGTGCCACGGGTTAGGGTCACAACAAGCGGACCTCCTCGCTGCACTGCACCGCAGCTGACATGGTGGCTTGCCTGGTGAATCATAAGTGAATGCTGTTGAGAGCTGAGCTTTTTGCAGACACCATGGCATTAGCCCCACGCCTTGGCCAAGCTCCAGCTTGGGCGATTCCACTCGGACACTTTAAATGCTCCCTGATGCCTTTGACAGGCGCAAGGCTCTGCTCTTCTGCCCGCGAGCTCTTGGAGACTTGTTGGGAGCTATTAAACAGCTGCTACTTTCACTCTCCGGCTGTTTTCTTGCTGGATGTAGGGGATTTGTCTGCAGAGCCTGACTGTGGGATTGTGAAAGAGGCTCTGTTAAGGCCAAGCAATTGATTTGCCAATAAAGGTTGGCTTTATTTTTCCCATCAGCCTCTCTGCTATGCGGCTGCTGAGGGCTTGTGTGGGACACAGCGTAACTAGTATCCATTTTGGAGTATAACAATTACCAGCTTAACTAGAGTGATGGTTTGTAAGGATATGCCTATAATTAGGTCGAGCTGTCTTGTTTGTTAAATTCCCCTTCAGCTCCCAAACTTGGCAGTGGGAATGAACTTTGGGCCTTTTTTGGGATTGCTGTCAGTCTTCCCTAGCAAAGAGCATTGGGAAACAACGCCTTTGTTCCTCTCCTTGTTGCTGGAGCCCATGGGCACAGACACACTGCCATTCTCTCTCTCACAGGGGCTGCTGAGCCATCATGGGGAATACCACCAGTGAGCGAGTGTCTGGGGAGCGCCATGGCTCCAAGTCCCACCGCTCGGATGGCTCCGGTGCCCCCCACCCCACCAAGGAGCACCCACACAAGATCATGGTGGGCAGCACCGATGACCCCAGTGTTTTCAGCTCCCACGACTCCAAGGTAGGGGCTGGCCACTGCCTTCCCTGTCCTCTGCTCTGGGGCCCTGGCTGGGGCTTCAACTCACTGGCTGTGTGGGGCTGTGCTCCCACCCATGTGAGGGGTCTGCGGAGAGCTGGGAGGCTGGAGGATCTCTGCAATGCTCTTGTCTGGGATGTGCAGATGGGCTGGTAGAGTCCAGGGGGAAGTGAATGTGGTCCCAGTTGTCTCTGTGTCTCAGTCAGGCTCTGGTTTTCTTTGCTCAGATTCCTGGGGACAAGGAGTTTGTGACATGGCAGCCAGATCTGGAGGAGTCAGTGAAACCATCCCAACAGGCTCGTCCCACTGTCATCCGCTGGGCCGATGGAGGCAAAGAGGTCTTCATCTCCGGGTCTTTCAATAATTGGAGCACCAAGATCCCGCTCATCAAGAGGTAGCCAGTCTTTCAGGTCACTGTACGTTCTCCTCCGCTCCATCACAGGGAGTGTTTTCTCTTCTCCGTGCTGGCTGCTGTTCCCTTTGCTCACCTGGCTTTTCTTAGTTCACCCAAGCTGGAGGGTCTGAGCACAAATATGTAGTCAGCTTCTTCCCTGGGTGGTGCTGTGTAGTGATGGGAAATTATGAAACAGAGGGACAGGACAGGATGGGCCACTTTGCTCGCCCAGCTGTATGTCACACAGCACCTAGTCCTGGTAGCAGAGCCCTGCCCAGGTATACAGCAGTTCCCTGGAAGCTGTCAGCTCTTCCCTTGGCTATGGCCTTACCCTGTGCCTAGTTGTGTTGTTGCCAGCAGGTGTTGTTTATTTGTCCCTCACGAGTCTCCCTGCTGTAATGATGTTCTCGGTGTTCCGTAATACATCTGTGATTTCGGTGGAAACAGCGTGTAAGACTCTGGACATAATTCCAGTAAATCATTTGGAATGGGTTTATCTCAATTGCAGGCTTAACAGAGCTGCTACACTTGTTGCCCCTGTCCTGCAGTGCCAGCGCTGGGTTAGGTGTTGCCCATGCATCCTCTCCAGTGTGTCTTGCACCGGGTGTCTGCCATGCTAGTTTTCCCAGGGCACACAAGGCAGGTTTGGAAGCTGGACCACCTTCTGTGCTCCTTGTGGCTGGACTCGTAGGGGTTTGAGTCACACTAGTGCTCTGAACGTTCACACCTGTTGTGTCCGTGCCTCAGATCACTGATGATAAGCAACCCTAACCCTGCGTGAAGGTGTTGGGGTGGAGGGGCTGAGCAGTGCGTGGAAAAAGTGCTGTTTTCTGAGACCCCATGGAAAAGCAGCATTCAGAGCGTCTGTGGGATAATGCTGTTGTGTGTCTGTTCTCTCTGCACAGCCACAATGACTTTGTTGCTATCCTGGACCTCCCAGAAGGAGAGCACCAGTACAAATTTTTTGTGGACGGCCAGTGGGTCCATGACCCATCTGAGGTAACTCTCAAAGCTTTAGCCCTGTGGATCTTGCCCTCTTTAGGGGACTAGACATGATGTAACTTTAGCAGGGGGGGAGCAGGAAGAGCATAGGGTGTCTGCCAAAACGAAACAGGCACCTGCATCCCATGAATCCTTTCAGAGGCTGATTCATCTGGGCTTAGACAAGCTGTACAGGGGAGTGTCAGAGAGGTACTGAGAGGCAGTGGGACGCCAGAAGGCCTTTAAGCCCCATTCAGAATTGACTACAAGGGAGGACGGGCCATGGGGTCAGCATACGCTTGCAGGTTCTGCTCCAAACTAAATCATGCAGTAGCAGCATGGGAAGGAGAGGACACTTACCTATTGGCATGTAGCAGGATGGAGGATGAAAATAGGAGATGATGCAGGAGCCTGGGAGTAAAGGGAAATCATCCTGGGGTAAACAATAGAGATCTGCAAGTGTAGAGCAGAGCTAGATGCCGGCCACCTGTGCTCTGAGATAATGGTGCAGCAAAGAGAGCTTGGGCTGGGAGGATCTAGGAAGCATTGCCTGTGCTTTGAGTGGAGGTGAACATAGGAAGACTCTTACCTCAGTTCTCTCCAGCCTGTGGTCACCAGCCAGATGGGGACGATTAACAACCTGATACATGTCAAGAAGTCTGACTTTGAAGTGTTCGATGCTTTGAAGGTGGATTCCCTGGAGAGCTCAGAAACCTCAGGTCGGGGTGAGTTTTTGTGGCATTACAGCTTTGCATGTGCTATTTTTCACCTCCTGCTCTGAGACTCGCTGCTCTGGGGGTGAACAGACCCCCCCGAGCAGAGGTGTGGGCCTGCACTTGGGAAGAGCAGTGTTTATCCGTGTGTCCTCAGCAGCCCACAGCTGAGGCCTCGTCTCCATGGAGGGGCTGTGCTAATGTAATTTGTTCTGTGCTAGCACCGTCCCAGAGCAGGGTCGGTGCCTGTGCATGGCTGAGGCAGCCATTTCAGACTGGTGAACGCCGGGAACATCATCCCTTTCTGTCTGCTCAACTGTGAGTAAGTCATCTGATCTGGGGTACAAGCTAGGTGAGAGCAGGATACAGGTTATTTTCAGGAGCTATTCTTGGTTTTCATGCCAAAGTAATTTGTACTAGTGCTAGCACATCGGGAACCTCCTTCTCCACTTGTGTTACAGCAGCGGGTTAGGTTACCACGCAGCCATCGGCAGTGCTGGCTCAGTGTGTGACGCTGGCAGGTAGCTCAGTCGGGTTTCAGTCCAGGGCACTCTGAGTGCGGCCTGCAGTCCCAGCTTGGGCAGGAGATACTTCATTGTAAAGAATTCGGCAAGCAGCAGCAGCTCCAGGGAGATGGAGCCCTTTCAGGTGCTGGCTGTTCCAAAGCAATCAGATCAGATGTGGCTGGGAGATACAGCCAGTCCAGCTTTCGGTGACCACAAGCTCCTGTGGTCCCTCACACAGCTGCTCAATCTGGACTTTCCATCTGCCTTTTCTGGGACCTCCTTGTCAGGCAGTTCTAGTTTTGCAGCACCAAGAGCGTGCAGGCATGCTGCTTGCTGTGCCCATGCCCCTGCTGCAAAGGGTACAGTTCTGGGGCAAGCCAGCTGCTTGCTACAGGGAGAGGGAGCCAGCTGTGCAGAGGTCTTAGGGTGGACACCACAAGGTGCTTGTGTTGTGTTAGTGCACTTACCAGCTTACAGCTCTGCTTGGAAACGCCCAGGGCTCACCTGGCTGCTTATTCTGCTGTGAAAAGGCTGAGCTGTCGCTACAGGATACATGGCCATGGCTCGTGGAAGATGTTTGTGCCTGAAAGACCCTGCTGGGTCCTTCTCAGCATCTTGGGAGCTGCTCTGTGATCACCAGTCCTGCTTTAGCCATTTCATGTCTCCTCCTGTCTTTTCTCTTTAGACTTATCAAGCTCACCACCTGGTCCTTACGGCCAAGAGATGTACGTATACAGGCCTGAGGAGCGCTTCAAATCCCCACCAATCCTCCCGCCTCACCTCCTCCAGGTCATCCTCAACAAGGACACCAATATCTCGGTGGGTACCAGCATACTGCCTGCACCTGGAGAGGCACACTGGGGTTGGAAGGGGAGTCCTTTCTGCAGAGAGCCTGGTCCTTGCCATTTCCTGAGACAAGCATTACTTTTCCCATTAACCGTGCTGGTTTGGCCCCTTGCTTTGCCTGGTGCGTAGCTGGGCTCTGTTCCCATTCAGAACAGAGACACCAGCAGCTCAGGTTGCCTGAGGTGGCAGCTCCCTGTGGTGGCTGGGGCTGGGGGGTCAGGGCTTTGCTGTTCCTCTGTGACACTCCTCTTCTCCTAGTGTGACCCAGCACTGCTGCCTGAACCCAACCACGTCATGCTCAATCACCTCTACGCACTCTCCATCAAGGTAAGGGCAGGTCCCACGAGGCGTCTGGGTGAGGGAAGGGGAGCTGTGATGGCTCCCAGGAGCCTGCAGCACCGGCGGGGAGCAGAACCTGGACAGCCAGGGAGTGGAGACAGTGGTGCAGGGATGGGAGGACCCACACGAGGACAGCTTAGCTGCATGGTGAAGTGTGGTGTGCTCAGGGACATAGGTTGTGGTCTCCTTACAGCCCCCAGTTCCCTGTAGCTGTCTCCCCACAATGTGGTGGAGCTGGGCAGCCCCAGGCTCTCCTGTTTTGTACCAGCCCCTTCTCTCGCTCTGCCCTGGCTCCCTGTCACGGGTGTTGGACGTGTCTCGCTGGCTGTGAGGCTGGGGACAGCAGGGACAGGCTGGGGCTGCTCCCTGAGCCCACAGAGCCCTCTTCCTGATGGCTGCCTTGGGGGTGCCGGGCTGCCGGGTCGGAGCTCTCGGTGCCAGGCTCTCCCTCCTGCTCCTACTGATGCTGTGCCCCTCGCAGGATGGCGTGATGGTGCTCAGTGCCACGCACCGCTACAAGAAGAAGTACGTCACCACGCTGCTGTACAAGCCCATCTGAGCTGGGGCCTCTCCCGCCCCCCACACAGGACACGAAACGCCGCTTTGTCTGCACACACTGGGCCACGGGACTGTGTGAGAACTGGCCGCTGGCTCCAGCCTCGAACCTGGCAGGGACACAGGCCTCGGCGATGAGCCCAGGGCTGCCAGGGCCTGTGACACTGTCCCATCCTACTGGTGTGGTTTGATTTAACCCTTGGTTTCCGCCCACCTACAGCTCCCCTTGGCTTCTGTGAGTCTGTGGGGCCACTTTGTTTGCTGCTCACCAGAATAGCCTTTCCTCGCGCCCGACACAGAAAGGGCTTCACCCTACCTGTCTTCTCCAGCCTGCAAGGGCCCCAAGGCAGTCCTGGCACTGCCCTCAGCCCAGGCCTCCAGGAACGTGTTCTACCTGCTGAAGGTTGCTGTGCTGTCCTGGTGATGAGCCTCCAAGGCCACCTTGATCCCTGGGAGCTTTGGGACACCCCAGCCTGCCACCTGCCCTCTGTCCCAACAACCCTGAATGCGGGGCTGCCCCCCTCCTTGTGCTCTCCAGCTTTGAGGAGGGCTCTCGGCTCCAGCTGCAGCCCCAGCCCTCTGCCAGGTTCAGCGTCAAGCCAGCAGGAGGGAGGATACAGCCACACGCAGCCGCACTTACCTGCCGCTGGGACAGCACCGTCAAGGACTGAACGCCTGCTCTTGTCCCCAACATGGAGTGCTTCTGTGGGACACGGCTGACTGTCGCAGCCAGAGGGACACCTGCGCACGCCCACGCTGGAGGGAACCTGGGGAAAGCGGAGCAGGGCAGGTACCCCAGGACCCCGGCTACACCGCCTGCTGCCGGAGCAGTGCCATGTGACAGGGTTTTCTCTATTTATTACAGTATTTATTGTTCTCGGTGCTGCTGGCCTGCTGTTGGCGGGGGGCTCTGAAGCAACAAGGGGAGGGAAGGGAGCGCCCGGTGGGGTGCAAAGCTGCCCTTGGGGTGCTGGGGTGGGGCTCAGACCCCCACCTTGGGACCAGTGGGTGCCTATGGTACTGGTACCCTGTGCTGTAGGTAGCCTGGGGAGATGGGAGCACAGCTGCAGAGACGGCGCACCAGGAACACCACAACCCAAAGGAAACCTTTATTGGGGACTCTCCAGTCACTGAGCAGAACATGGCATTTCTTACATCTTCCTCCCGCGCTGGGGCCCCGACATGCTCGGGGAGCCCCCAAAACGCAGCTCCGATACCACTATCTATATACATATACGTACATCCGCGAGCAGGGATGGGTACACAGCAGGGTTACAAATGGGACCAAGTCCCAGGGTGAGAGGTGCTCAGCGTGGAGGGCTGTGACACCTCACTCTAATCACCGTGGGTGAAAGGGGGCGAGCGCTGAAGCATGGGGCAGGCAAAGCCCAAGCCAGCAGCTGCTGCTGTGATGCCAAGCAAAGGCAGGTGGAGGGCATGCGACCACCACAGCAGCCCAAACCCACTAACTGTGTGGCACCCGGCACTCCAGACCTCTGTCCACCTTAGCTCTTGGAGTAGCAGGGACCCACTCCAGCCCTCCAGCATGGCATGGCTCGGCAGCGAGCGGGCTGTTCTGGGGCCGGGGCCATGGCTCCTTGCCCTGCCTGGGGCTCACGCGACAGGCAGGGCCTGCTGGGCCTTCACCTGGTGAGAGAGCACATGAGGCAATAAGGGGGAGCACTGTCAGGTCAGCCCTGCGCTAGGGGAATGTAGTGCCTTGGGGACAAAGACATGAAGGTTGGGGACAGCCAGGGAAAATGCGTCCCTGTGTGTCCCCACACACACACTCTGCAGCCAACCGGCCCCCTCAGCAACCCCTGTCAGCCACCGCTCTGCTGGGTGTCTGCCATCTGTGCCTATCCCCAGGGCATCACGACTCATCAGGGCAGGGTTACCTCCTGTATCCCACGCTGGTGTCAGGGCAGACTCACCTCCAAGTTCGTCCTGGCCTTGCGCAGCACGTTATGGGTCCTGGTCACTGCGAGGGAGAGAGAGAGATGGGGTTAGTGAGGTCCCTGTGCTGTGGAGCCACCCCAGGCACCTGGGGACCAAACCAGCTTGGCCGTGCCACCCCACAGCAGGATGCCACCCGGGCCACCTACGCTGGCTCACAATGAACTGCTCCATGCTGTCCTTGAGCTGTGCTGTGTTGCGCAGCCGCTCAGCTGTGTTCTGCAGAGCATCCTCCCTCTCGGAGAGCTGGGCCCGCAGTGCCGCGATCTCACCCTGTAGTGCTTGTTCCTGGCATGAGACGAGCGTGATGAGCGGCGAGCGAGCATCCAGCCCCACCGGCCCTGCCAGCCCCCTGGCCCGGTGCTTACCTTGCCCTGGTGCTGGGCAGGGCTGACAGGCAGCACGGTGCTCCAGAAGGCAGCGAGGAGAGACGCGCACTCTTCCAGGACACGGTGCAGGGTGCTGGCGCTGCCCCAGAGGTGCCCCGCACCCGCCCACCCCAGGGCCTGCGGGAGAAGGGTGCAAGAGCGGGTGCTGCCAGGGCACCTGCATCCCACTGCGCCCAGGGACCCACCAAGCCCAGCACAGCAGGGCAGTGCCGGCAACACCCCCAGGCTGGAGACTACCTGCTACTTGCCAGCCCTGCAAGCCTTGGGGCTGATACTGGGGTCAGGAGCTGTTTTATGAATGGTCCACCGAGGGTTTGCCGCCCCCACCCCAGCCACCACCAGCCCCATCCTGCCCACGCTTTACCTCCTTTCCCGGGAGCGGGCAGTTGGACAGCCCAAGTGCCGGGCGCGTCAGACACATCAGCTCACAGGCCAGCCCCTTCCCCTCCAGGATGTGCTGCTCCAGGGCCCGGTAGGTGTCCAGGTGGCCAATGACATGAGCCCCCATCGGTCCCTCACTCTTCCTCACCAGTGGATCTGCCCCACGTGGCTCTGTGGAACAAGAAGGGCTAGGTGAAGACCACTGTCTGCTCCCCCTGTGGCCCTCCCCATCCCATCCCATCCCAGGCACTTGGCTCTGTCCTGGGGTCTCCATCTTTGCTTAGTAAAGGTGCTGCTGTGAGTTTGTCAGGTCTCAGCGGCCCCTGAGGTATACATGTCGGGTAGGCTCTGGTACCCACCGTCCATCTTCCGGGCCACCGATGTGTCAGAGGGCAGTGGGGAGAAGAGGGGAGCTGCTGAACTTGTGCCAACATCCCGCACCGGAGGAGATGGGAAGCAGCCTGGAACAAGAAGCGTCTGAGGCCCTGCGGACAGCTGTGCTGTGTTCCTGAGGGGCTGCTGCGGTCTTGCCCTCCCTCTCTGCCTGCCAGCAGGGCCACTATGTCCCTCCTGCTGCCACGACAGGAGAGGTGTTTGGGACTGCTGAAGGGCTGCAAAGGGTCCAGGCACCCCAAGACCAGGAGCTGGGCAGAGAGGCTGGGGATGCTGGATGCTGGTCCTGTACCTGCACGGGTCTCGGCAGAGGGGCGAGGAAGGCTCTCATAGACGTGCAGCTCCGCGCGCAGGGTCTGCAGGAGCAGGCGGTGCTCCTCACACTGCTGCTGCAGGAGCGTCACTGTGTGCTGCAGTCTGCAGAGGGGTGACACGTGGGTCCAGTGCCAGCCATGTCACCCAGACCTGCTGGCCCCAAGGCCCCAAACCTTACCTGTTGTTGTCCTCCTGCAGAGAGCGCCGCTCATCCCGAAGCTGCCGGACATTCCCTTGGTGTTCGGTGAGCTCCTCCGCCAGCCGCCGCTGCTCCCCACGCCTCTGGCTCAGCTCTGCTTCAGCTTCCCGTGCCCGGGAACAGGCAGCCAGGAGCGCCTCCTGCACCTGTGCCAGCTCTGGGGACAGAGAGCATGGAGGTGTCACTGCCACCCCACTCAGCCAGTGCCCTCTGGGACTCAGACCCGGGGTGCATGTTGCCCCAGCCCTACCTTGAGAGAGGTGGTCACGCTGGAGCCTCAGGGTCCGGTTGTCCTCACGCAGAGCCTGGTTCTCCCCGCTCAGCTGCAGCCCCGGCTCCAGCGCCTGGGCATAGACATCACTGGGCAATCCTGCAAAGGGGGACCGGTGCTGAATCTCTCTCCCCAGCACTCCGCCATGCACGGGGTGAGCACTGTCCCCATGCAATGTGGTGTGCAAATCTTGGGCCCCCTCCCCAGCAGCCCTGGTCCCAGTGCAGCACCGTACCACTGGTCTTGCCCGTGGAGGCCAGGCGGCGTTCGAGCTGCTCCCGGAGCCGGTCGTTGGTGCAGATGGACTCCTCAAGCCGCTGACGCAGGCTGCGGATCTCCACCAAGTGTTCTTCCAGCAGGTCTGCCCCTGTCACAGCCGAGGAGATGGCTCAGGGCAGGGATGGAGGTTCAACCTGCCTCATACTGTCCCCAATATCCTGCCCCATATGAGAGGCATGTCCCACAGCCATTCTGGTGCCGGGTCTCCTCCCTGTTCCACCACACCCAGCCAGGATGCCACCATGGTCTCCAACCTGGACCTTACCTGTTAGCTTCTGGCTGGAGGGGTACCCCGATGGCAGGGCCCCGTAGAGCAGCTGGCTGGGAGGGGGTACGTCCCAGCGAGCACGGGTCTCAGTGGCCCCAGGGATCTCAGTCAGGCTCTGCAGCACGCTGTGCCGGCAGAGCGATGTTGGGGCTTTGCTGCCCTCTCCAAAGGGGCCCAGTGGGGCTGTGGGCTTTGCTGGTGCCACGGGCAGTGTCACACCTGCACACACAGAGCAAAGCAGGTAGGAGGAGGAGGGCAATGCACCTGGAGGAGGAATGAGGGTAACACACTCCCGCCATGTGCGTTTTGCCCCCTTCCTGCTCTGCCCAACAGTGCAGCCCAAAGTCCCCCCATGGCAATCCCCCATCATTGACCTACTGCCCTGGTCAAACCCATTCCCCCTAAAAAGCAGAGGCTGTCCCAGGGCTTGCTGATTATGTGAGACAAGTTGGAGGGTCTCAGCCCCACTCCTACACAACAGCTAACCATACCAGCTCTTTCCCAGAGGCCCCAGGATGTGCAACTGCCCCTACCAAGGGCTAGTGCTGCCTCAGGCTGTCCGTCCCACCCACCAGGTCCTCTCTACATGAGAGCCACATGTCGCCATCATCCCCCATCCAGAGTGATGGGACCCAACCTCAAAGCAGTAGCCCTGGAAAGCAGGAGAAGGGCCAGGGCAGGACAGGCAGGTCAGAAAAGGGGGCGGTGGGGGAGGATGCGGTGCGGCACAGCACAGCTTGGCGCGGCATGGCACACAGGGCAGGCGGGACCGACCCCATGCTGGCGGCACACGCTCACTTTCTTCCAGTTGCCTCCGGAGCCCCTGCAGCTCCTGCTGCGCCTCTGCCAGGGAGCAGACGGGGGGCCCACAGCAGCCCAGGAGTGGGGGGGCCACAGGAGGGGGGGGCCCAGCAGGCAGGAAGGGTGGCAGCCCAGGGGCCAACGCAGGCAGGGGGGCATTAACGGGTTTGGACAAGGAGTCAAAGCGAAGGCCTAGAGATGGGAGAGAGACAGAGAGAAATGTTAGTGCAGCTCTGGCTCAGCCCGGCAGGGACCCCTTGTCCTCAGGGGCATTGGGGACCCTGGCACACCCCGAGCAGTCGAATCCCCATGTCCAGAGGTGCTGCAGGCTGGGACACCCCACGTGAGGCTGGTCAGGTCTCAGCCTTGCAGGGCTGTGGTACCATGGCATGGATCCTCAAGATGCTCTCCTGCAGCCCTAGGTGCTGTGTGCATGCACCCCCAGGCTGGCACTGGAGCATGGTACCACACGGGCAGCCCCCGCCTGATGGGCACCTACTGCTGCAGGGGGGCTGCATGTCCCCATCCCATGGTTGTGGGCTCCCCGGGGCACCCTGAGGTACCTGTGAGTCGGGCAGGCTCCTCACGGCACTGGCTGCACTCGCTGGCTGCGTCCCCATCAGAGCAGGGCTCCAGCCCCTCAGACACGAAGGAGGTACTGGTGGCAGAGCGGGACGACTCGGAGGGCGGGCAGCTGCTTCCTGGGGATTCACAGCGCTCCTGCAGCTTCGCCTCCAGGCTCTCGATCACCTTCTCCTTCTCCTGGAGCTCCCGGCTGAGCCTGTGGAGATGGCCCATCACCAGAGCTGGCAGGGCAGGGTGACCCCCATCCCACTGCCCTTCCCCTCTGTGCTGTGCACACTCCAGCATGACACCCCGCATGCCGTGACCCACCCATGCTGCAAAGCTGCCTGGAGCTATGGGGTGCCCAGCCCAAGCCTGGGGCTCCCCCCTGCAGAGAAGAGACAGCCACAGGATATCCACCTGGAGCAGAGACCCTGAGGCCACCTCGGACCCTCACCCCAAGAACAGTGATAGCCCCGAGGGTGCCCACATAGAGCAGGTCCACCAAGCCCCCCTGGGAACTGGTACCTCAGTGCCAGGAGTTCATGGCTGGTTTTATCCTCCCCATCTCGTTGATCTCCTGAAAAACCAAGCCAGAGAGGAGCCAGTCAGCATCTCCATGGCCCAGGCTGCACATCCACAGAGCCACAGCAGGACAGCCCAGCTCAGAGAAGGTAGCCCACACAGCACAAGGTATCTAAATGTCCCCATCCCTTCATTAGAACCCATCAAAGCATCCCTCCCCATCCCACTGTACCCCACAACGCCCAGCCCCAGTGCCCCCCTCAAAAGGTACTTACTGGTGCCCAGCTTGTCGCTGAGCCTCTCGGCCAGCTGCCTGCCCTGGGCCAGCTGCTCACGAAAGCCCTGGCCCAGGTAGTAGTCGATGTCAGTGCCACGGAGGAGGTCCTCAAAGGACCGCAGGGCATCACGCAGGTGCTGGGCCAGGCTGCGGCTCACCCCGCGGCCCTCCCGCAGCATCTGCCGCAGGTGGGAGAGCTCCCGAGCCTGTGCTTGGATCAGCGAGTCGTACTTCCTAGGAAGGATCAGCAAGTGGGGGGTCCACAGGGCTGCCAGACCCCTCCCCCAAACGGCATGGCAGGGTTGGGGTGCCATGGGGGCAGTCTGTGCACCGTCCACAGCTGGGGTTCTGCCCCACCATGCAAATGACCCAGGATCCTGGCTGAAGGGAAAGCATGCAACGAGAAGCCACCACCCTTGGGCAACCCCTGGAAGCCCCTGTAGCCCCCTGTCTGGTCCTGATACCCGCGGCCTTACCCGGGCCAAGTGGCAGATTGCAACTCCTTGGGCAAAACGCCTCCGGATTTGCTTGCGGGCAGCTGTGCCTCAAGGAGGGCGACGCGGTGCACCAGGCGCTGCAGGTCACGGTGTGCCCGCAGGGCGGGCGGGCAGAGGGTGCCGTGGCCATCTGACTGCCAGCCCTCGTCCTCATCTGTGAGGCTGTGGGCCGGGGAGGCCAGGGCCGTGGGACCCAGCAGGGGCCGCTCGGCACCCGAGGTGTAGCCACTGGTGACGGAGATGGAGCGGGCACGGCGCTGCAGGCTCTGGATCACCTTGTTGGCATTGAGCAGCTGCACCTTGAGGTCCTGGATGTGCTGGTGCAGGGCCCCCACTTCTGCCTGTGCCATGGCTTTCCGGGCAGCCTTACCCACCCTGGGCATCCCTGGCCGGCATGGGGACCCCAGCTCCTCGCCCAGGCTAGGCTCGCTGAATACATCTGGCTCCTCACACTCTGCAGAGGGGACAGGGCACGGTGTCACTTTTGCATGACAGGTGGGCAAGGCACAAAGATTCCTGGAGCCACTGGCTCTCCTTACCAGGGCTGGTGGTCTCATCCCGGTCAACCTCTGTCTCGCTTCGCCCACATGTCTCATAGCCCAGGTCCTGGAAGTCCACCTGCACTTGCTTGCTGAGCTGCTGGGCGTGGGGTTCACCTGCCGGGCAGCCCCGTCAGCTCAGGGTCCCCTTCTGGGCAGGATTCACCAGCCCTGCCCCATATACAGCACGATGCACAGGGTATGCCAGGCTCAGCCCAGACAGTGCCACTCCCTCCACCCCCCCCACTCCCCCAATCCCATCCAGGGTTTTAACTCACGGAGTAGGATGTGGTACTTCTCCAGTTGCTCAGCTTGTGCCCGCACTGTGGCCTCCGACGCAGCAAGCTTGTCCTGCAGCTCCTGGCACTGCTTTTGGCCCTGCGCCACCTGGGACTGCAGCTCTGTGCCCAGCCCTGGCCAGCCCCTGCTGGGGACTGTGCCCTCTGCCTGCCAGAGGGGAGACCAGTTGTGAGCTCCCCATCTCCATCACCATCCCCATCCCCATCCCGGTCCCCTGTACCTAGGAGACTTACATAGCTCCTGTCCCCTCCACCTGAGGTGCCAGGGCAAGGTCTCTTGGGTACATCATCCTGGGATCGTGCCTCCAGCGCTGGGCGTTTGGCAGGCACAGCTCCCCTCTCTGCTAGGACCCCTTGGCCATCCCCACTGCCACCAGCTGGGCGGTCCCCAAGGGTGCTGCGGTTCTTCCGCTGCAGCCTGCGGGGCTCGGGGGCCGGGGGGCTGCCCAGCCCAGCCTCCTCCTGCTCCCCACTCTCCAGCAGTGAGGTGGCTTCACCTATCCGCTCCTTCAGCTCCGCGTTCTCCAGGCACAGGCTCAGCATCGCCTTCCTAGGGGCACACGACACTGTGAAGGGCAGGCAGTGGGCCAGACTCAGGATGCCCCCTCCAGCTGCTGCCACCCGCCAGCTCCTACGTCCTGGGGCTCTTGCCTGATGTGGGAGACAGAGGAGAAGCCAGCTTCCTCCAGCTGCGCCTTCAGCTCCCGCAGCTCCTCTTCTGCCCGCAGCTCCCGCTCCAGCACGGCAGGTGCCATGCTCCCCATCGGGGTCCTTTCAGTGCCCCTGCTTTCTTTAGGGGCCTGGGGGCTGCTCTAAAGGGACAAAGACAGAGGGTGACAGGGATGTTTCCAAAGGGGCTAGGACACAGCACGGCAGCGGTGCGGTGCCCAACTTTGCCACCCGTGTTCCCGGTGCTGCGCTGCCCTGACTCACGTGCTGGGTTGCCACACTGCGGGCTGCCTCCTCCTTCATGCCGTCGGTGAATTTGGCGCTGGCATCATCAGCATCTGTGCCTGTGGCCTGACCTAGGGGACGGGACAGCACAGCACAACAAGGCACTCAAAGCAGTGGCAATGGCGGCACTGCCTCTGTCTCCTCCTCCCTGGTCATGTCTGTGGGCAGCCTCCGGGTGGTGCCTGCTCTCATACATGCCTGGTGCTGGGGCACTCCCAGCAGGACTGAAGTCTCCCCTCTGTCCCTCTCCCCTGCCACGCTCTCTCCGCATTCTGGAGCTCCAATCCAGCAGTCTGTGCTGGCCCGGCACTGAGGGAGGGGACAGCCCCAGCTGCCCGCAGCCCCAGCGATGGCACCCCAGCAACAGCATCTGCCCCATCCACACCTCTGCCTTCACACCACCGGGTGCTTGCTGTCCCCCCCACATGCATACGTGCCACCCACCCCGCAGCCACTTCACAAGCCACAGCCAGCAGCACGTGCTTGGTCAGGGAGCTTCACTGGTGCTGTCCCAACCTGGCAGGACCATGTGGGTGCACCCCACACCATCGCTTGTCTAGGCAGGGGCAGCTCAGGGAGGGCACTAAGCCACCCCTGCCCACATCGCTCAAGCCCTGCTGTCATGCATGGCACCGGGCTGTTGACAAGCCCTGAGCTGGCCTTGCGGAGCTGAAGGGACACGTGTCCCATACCACAGTGCACAGGGGGTTGGGGCGCACCCTGCCCCACAGGGCTGAGTTGGAGGAACACTTTTCTGCTTGCGCACAGCTCTGCTCCTGGCCCCTTGGTGCAGAGCCCCGGGCGAGGGCTTGCAGTCCTTGTCTGGACAGCTTGCCTCCCACCCAGCTGCAGGGCCCTGCCTGGGCTGGGACATGGGTGTACCCCCAATCCCTCTTCTTCCCAGGGAGAGGGGAGCTTGGACAGGGCCCAGGACCATCCTCTGGGGCTGCACAGAGACAGGTTTCTCAGATGCCTGTGCCCCACAGGAGATGCAGCTGCTTTGGCCGTGACCAAACCCATCACCATCAGGTCTGGAGCTCCCAGACAAGGCTGAACGTGGAACAGGGGAATGCAGAGAAATCTTGGCAGGAGAGAGGCCAAACATCACCGGTGGACGAGAAGCCAGCAGGGAAGCACACAGCTCCCAGGAGGGAAAGCAGAAAAGCAGCCAGGAACACACCTTGCAGCAGGGCAGGCGCACTGTGCACATAGGTGGTGGCACACTCGGGAGACCCACTTGTGACAAGTAGCTGCCAGGAGGCTGCAAAAATCAGGGGTACCTCACTGCCCAGCCTGGGCAGGCATCACCCTGCGTGGTGGAGCCTGTTCACTGAAGCAACCGTGCCCTGGGAAGCAAGGACAGCCATCACAGAAAAGCGCTGTTCTGGCAGCAAAAAGCTTAGAGGCAGCTGTAAGTGGCAGCAGCACCCTGCTAAAGAAGCAGCTCCCACGGGTGGCACTCAGCATAGCCAAAACACAGCCCTGTGAGCCCCTAGGGACACAGCCTGAGAGGTGACAAACCATCTAGGGCTACAGCTCAACGCCTGCAGGGCCCCGAAGGGTCAGGGGACGCAGACCCTCGGCTGCAGGCTTTGCTGGGGGGGTTGAGGGCCATGGGCACATGGCTCTCAAGCTGGGTCACCATGGCTGAGAGGCCAGGGCAGGACGGCTCACAGCCAGCACAGCTGCTCTGGGGACATGTGAAAACCACCTCTGATGCCAGGACACAGCACCCCACTTCCCACCATCGCCCACAGGTCTGCACGGCTCCCAGTGCTCCAGGACTGGGGTAGAAAAAGGGAGCACAAATCTCAAGGATAAAAAAAAAAAAAAACCAAACCAAACCAAAGGAACAGGGGAAGAAGAGGAAGCTGGTGCTGGGGGAGCAGAGAAGTGTGTGTGTGGGGAAGACTGTTCACCAAGTGCTCGAACCCTCCATCGCAGCAGGAGCACGCCGGGGTGCAAATTCAAAGGGAGAGGGGCTGCTCAGCTCTCTGCGTGCTGCCAGCAAAGGAGGCAAGAGACGCCACCCCGCCACTATTTCTCACCGACTCCTCTGCCTTTCACACACAGCCTGAAGGCAAAGAGAATTAGTTGCATGGCTTGAAAATTGCACGTGGCCCACAGGCACAGGACATTCAGGTGCATTGGGTGCGCACTGGAAGTCTTCACACTGCTGGGAACAAGGGAAGGGAAGGGAAGCAAGGTCCCCAGAGAAACAGAGAGAGGAAGGAAAGACCTCCACAAAGAGCTTCAAGACTGCACAAAGCACTGCACAGCTCAACAGAGGGTGCTCTTGGGCATGGGATGCTCAGGCTGGTCCTTCTGCAGGGCAGAGGAGTGCACAGACAGGGATATCAGGGATGAAAAAAGGCCCTAAAGAACAGAGAGGAAAGTTTGGGACCCCTCTAGCCTAGGATAACACTCCCCTATGGGGCACTTCACAGCAGTGATTCTAGTAGAGGCCCAGGACAGAGCTGTAGCTAAACACATGCACAAGAAGAGGTAGGAGCTGCCGGAGCACCAGTCAAGGCTTTCCTCGTGCCATGCCAAGGAGCCTGTACTGGGTCGTGGGCTCCATGGTACCCGAGGGACCAGGGAGCCGGACAGGCATCAGAGCCAGGATGAAGGAGGGAAGGCGGAAAGAAAAGGACAGGGACACAAAGGCTCCTACAAAGTGAAAGGCAGGAGAAAGAGAAGATGGTGCTACAGAGAGAAGGGAGAGGAAGTGAATGAGATGAGACACAAGAAAGGAAAAGCTAACCAAGTACCAGAGCTGCCCAGCAGCCACCAGCCGTGTCCCTTCAGGCCACATGAGAACTGCTAGAACTCACCACGCAGCTAGGTGCGGACCCAGAGGAGCAGTGCTGACCTGCTGCGTGTGAAGGGAGAGCTGTGCTGCCTTCTATCCCTGTCTTGAGGCAGGGAAGAGAAGACCTCAGCACTTGGGCAAGGCATGGGACAGGTGGTGCCATGTGAAGCAGTCACAAGGAGATATGCAGCGGAGCAGTCACAGGTCCAGGTGGCGCAGCCCAGCGAGATGGAGCTCTTCTGGCTCCACCTGCTCCTAGTTCAGCTTTGATGCTCACAGGTTCAAAATTTGCTCCTGTCACCTTGGGAAGTGATTGAGTATGAGGCAGCTGATCCATAGACCGCTGTGCATGGGAAGCACTGGTCATCAGAAAGCTGTTGCTATTGTTTTTCAGCTCTCATGCCAGCCCAAACGCTCCCAGAAGAGGTGAAAGATGTCCTAGAAAAGGTATGCAGCGGTGCCAAGAGGGACTGTCTGTAGCAAAGCAGAAATAGGGCCCTGCCCATAGCCCAAGGGGTGTGTGGAGCCTGTGAGTGAAATGTGCACGTACAAGTGAGGGAACAGACGCAGCCCAGACACTGGGAGCAGGGGCAGGTCTCAGTCACCCCAAATCATCTGTCAAAAAGAGGAGGAAGCTCTCCCTCGAAGGCACTTGCAAGCCAGGCTGAGATACAATTAGGGGGAAGAAAAAAAAAGTCACTAAAATCATCAATACTGGAGTAGGATTTGGTTTAGGCATAAAATGAATGATTGGTTCTACACTCAGACTTGTGTAAGAGCCCCGGGCAAGTGCCATCAGATATTGCAACCCTTCTCAAATTCTCTGGCTCTGGAACCCACTTTTCCATACTCATCTTCTCCTTTTGGGCCAGCCACCATCAACCCAAGTGGGGGAGGTCACTGGGTAAAAAAAAAAAAAAAAACACAAAACAGTGAGGGAATACAAAAACTCACACATGCACTTGGGAGATGATAGAGAACGTTTGGCGTTTCCTTCAGAGAAAGGGAATCTTTATTTGGCCCACGGGGATGGGAGGAGAAGGGAGATGGAGAGAAATCAACTAAAATGGAATGATTTGAATGTGCAAATACATCAGTAGCCACCAGGGTGGGTCAGACAGGAACATACACGAGACACAGGTGGATTGCACTGATCGCCGTTTCCGAAGCAGCTCAAAAATAGAACAAAACAAAAAAAAAAACCACCCCCAAAACAACCCTGCACCAGTTCTATCATACCATTACTAAGTACCAAAGCAACCCTCCCAGAGTCAGTGAGATAGGCTCGCTCAGTTAGTGAACCATTTCCGTGGCAGGCGGGCGAGCGCCAGTGCTCAGAAGGCATGCTGGGGTAGGACTCTCACACGCTCCTGTTCCCCACCTCCTATGGCGCCCTGTGTCTCCAGCCTGCTCAAACGCTCCAAGCTTCTTCCAAGAGCTTCTTCCAGCTGTCCCCGGAGTTCGTGGACCCCCTCCAGCTCCACCTGCAGAGTGTGATCTCTCGCAGCGCTAGGTAGACATGCCGCACAGAAAGGGAAGTGGGTTAGACAGGCTGCAGCAAGCGCACACCAAATCGGCCCCTCCATCCAGGACTGCCGCTTACTCCAGGCACAGGCCCCGCACGCTCCCCAGGCACCTCTTGCCTCACCTCTAAACCTCCCCAGAGCACAGCCATCCCCAAAAAAGGTTCCAGCCCATGGTAGGGGACTCCTAGTAACAGCTGTTCTTCAGTACTTACTCAAGCATTCCACTTATGTGCTCTCTTGCTATCAGGTAGCTCAAATATCCCAGAGGCTGCAGCCCCATGAAGGGCAGGAGGTTAGTGCGGAGGACAAAGAATGCAGGCCATACTGCGCTGCAGGGCGACCAACCGCCTGGATAAGCACCTAGATAGATCTTTATCAATCCAACAGTTGTTGGTGACAGCAGCCTCTGAAAGGTGGCCAAGTGTGGGCGGGAAGCTGAGGCGGGAAGGGATAAGCCAGGGAACAGAGATGGAAATCCCAGGGCCTGAACAAGAGGTGGCAACGGACGGAGTGTACGTAGCATTTAAAGCTGGCCACTGCAGCCCCTTCAAGGGAAGAAGGTAGCCTAAAACCTGGACTCCCAAAGCCACATTTGTGTGATTCTTTACCCAGACTTCTTCTTTCCCATTTCTCAGACTTGCAGAATGATCACTGCTACAGGGATTGCCCCACTGGACCACCCACACTTGCCCCAGCAGCGGGGCAGGGCAGCACAGAGCCAAGGCAGCCTCGCTTACCTGTCTGGGTGCGTGTGAAACTTTACCAGGCTGCCGTAGAGCTGCCTCTCTGCCTGGAGAGCTTCATTTAACCGATTCCTTTCAGCCACCAGCCCTTCCAGCATCAGTAACAACTGGTTGGAAAGAACAAACAAGATACAACACTTAAAGACAGAAATCAGGAGGCATCTGGCTGCCCCAGAGAAACAGAGGCTTGCCCTTCCTCTCTTGCTTGTGTCTAAGAGACCCCTGGACTCTCAAAAAGACTCTGCCCTTGAGACAAGTGCTAAAGGGAACCAATCCTCTCATCTGTATTACCCCTGCCGTTCACAGCCAGCTTCCAAGAACAAGTGCACCTCAGCACATCCAAAGGCTGAAAACAAAGCCTCATAACTGAGCACCAGCAGAAATATAAACATATCCAAGCCTGCCCCCCATGGCACACTACCTGCTGCCTTCTGTTTCCAGTAGCCTCTTGTCCTCTTGACTCTGTTATGGCCACTTTCTCCCGAAGAACCAGGACTTCTTGTGTCAGCCTTTCCACGGCTGGAATTTCTTCGGGATCCACCAGCTGCATCTGCAGATCCTGAAAACCAACAGCAGGAGGGCTCAGTGAAGAAGAGATCAGTAACAAGGACAGCTGGACCTTCGTAATCCTCCCTGAGATGCAACTGCCAAAAGTTTCCAGTGTATGGAAAGGCCCAGGTCTCCTAAGAAAGAAATGCCAAAGCGCCCAGAGTGTGTTAGGCACAGACAACAGCCTGGAGGAAGAACTGAGAAGGGACACAATGCACTCTGTTTAAAGGACTCAAAGGGTGTTTGGTACACATGGAGCAAAAAGCCAAATAATGACATTCTCGGGGTTTGGGGCTTTTGCCTTCTGGCCAAAGTAACACAGAGGGCTGTAGGCGAACCAGCAGCCATACCATCCATGGACAGACAGCCACATTACTCTGAGGATGTGGGGAAAAAAAGAGACGACTCTGCAGCCTTTCCAGGCGGAACTGACCCAGCACAGCATGTTATCTCACCTTGATGAGGTCCTCTTTGATCTGGATGGTCCTGGTCAAGGACTCTATATCTGAGGCCTGCACCTGCAGCTCTTCCTCCTGCGTGGCCACGACAGACTGGAGAGCAGCGAGCTCCCGCTAGTGAGGAAAGAGAAGTCCGTGAAAGACTTCAGAAAGCCAAAACCCCATTGGCAAGCTGCTGCTCAATTTCTCTCACTGGGGTTACCCTCACAATAGGGGGGTCCAAAACCTCCAGTGAGGGGCAGCCCAAGTCTCCTGTAAGCAAGGGAGATGAGCACAGGCTCCATCACAAGCTTACCCTGCTTTCCCTTTCCTTCTTTGCCATTAGCTCCAGCTCCTCTTTGGCATTAACAAGATCCTTCTCCAGTTCTGCTGCTGTCGTCGTAACTGCAAAGACAGCTTGGTTACTGCAGGGTTACCATGTGCCAGCTCTGACCTCAGGATCAGACAGAATCCCTCTTTGGCAAGACAGGTCTACAATGCTTGCACTCCCCATCACACTCCCTCTTAGTAAACACTCTTCTTCACTACTTAATCCTTAAACAGCAGCCCAAAGCAACAGCAACATCCCAGGCCTGCTGTCCCGTCCCTGGCAAAGTTCAGATGTCCCAACCCCAAGGGAAAACCCAAAACCAAGTTGCACTTGTCTCAACCCAGCCTGAACCATAAAGTCAAAACCCCTTCACTGGACAGCATCAGCTCGTCAGTGGAAGCACCTCACCTCAAAGCTGACAACAGCTTTTCTCTTTCCCATACTCCTGTCCCTGAACCATCACCCAAAGAGGAGACACAGCTTTATTTCAAAATAAATATTTTTGCTCAAAGCTCTTTACTCTCAGTATCATGTAACCATGTTTTTCCCACAGCAAAAAGCCCTGGTCATGTTTGGGGACCTTGAAAGAAGCTGTCATCACACTCACCTCCCTCTGTCCTGCAGCTGCTGTCCCCCTGTGGGGGTCCGGCAATGGCTGAAGCTCCACAAGCTCTTTGCGGTACTTCCTGAAAACACAAAAGTCTCCAGGTTTGCACCTTTATGGTGAACCTAGCACAAGCAGCTTCCCCAAAGCTCCAGGATTGCAGCAAAGCTGCTGGCTGCTTTGCTGATGCCTCTGAAATGTGAGAAACCAATGAAGGGGATCTAGCCAGCTAGTGGGGACAAAGGAATTGCACCCAACCTAGAAGCTCTGTGTGCGCGCAACAGGGCTCTGGCCTTGTTTTATCTGGCACTAGGAGATTGCTAGCAGTAAGCATCTTCATAATAAGGATTAAATGGGTTTCACTCAACTGTAGCAAAGCCATCTTTCATCTGAGACTCTACAAAGACCTACATCTTCATGTGAGGATGCGGCCCAGAGGGACCATGAAGGAAGGAAAACACGGAGCTTGGCCCATATACACAACCCGGGAAGTCCCTAGAGCTCACTTTGATCCTGGGAATAGAAATGAGCAACCTGTTTACAGCTGCTTCATAATGTTCCACATGTCAGCTCACCAACAAACCATTAACAGCTGCTCGAGTAGGAGCACAGCATATGTAGCCTAGGAGTTGTGTTCAGCCTCAAAGGGGGTTTTAGCAAAGCTGCTTTAAAAATACCAACTCCAATTGTGGAAGAGACAGCAAACAGCCAGCAGGCTCTGCCAAGAATTAGTGGGACCTAAAATTAGCTCTCTTGTCCCCTCCAGAATGTGACAATGTCAGGGAGGGGATTACAATACAGCGAGGCAGCCCAGCCCAAGGAAGGACTGGGTCAAAGCTGGAAGGTCAGAGGGTGAATTTCTTTCATACCCTCGTGTGCCCTAAGGACTCAAATACTGCCTGATCAAAACAAAAGGAGACACTGAGTGACAAAAGCTTGTGGAATCAAGATCAGAACAGCCAGGCAGCATTTCTGCTCCTCAGTTTCTTCTTTTCCTCCTATAGGAAGTCTCTTCCCTAATCCCACTTTCATTTCTATCATTCTCTGTGGTGCTCCCCTCTCTCCCATTTCCTCCTGTTGCCATCACTTCTCTCTGGAGCCCCAAGGCCACGGGCAGAGAAACACCGTGCACGATTCTTACTTGTATGGGTTGTTTGTCCTGCTTCAACAGCCTGGCACCAGCCGACTGGGTCCCGACAGACTCCTTTCCCAACACATGCTGACGTAGGAGTTGTAACTCGCAGCTCCTTTCAGCCAAAGCATGTGCCATCTTCTCAGCAGCCATCTGATTGAGCAGGAAAGATAGGGAAAGGTAGGATCCTTGTCCCTCACCTTCCTTAGAGACTAAAGGAAGCCATCTCAATATTTATCTGTCACTTGAGACTGGAAGTAATCTGTAAACCAGCCTGGGAGCTACTGCTCCTGGCTGCTCACAGTGACTCCACAGCAACCCTCCCATCTCTGCTTGCCAGACCGCTGCAGCAAGGCTCAGCCTCTCTGCCTACAGAGGAACAAGCTCCCCGGTTTCTCACACCTCATTCAGGAGGGAAGAAAGACAGAGGAGAGACAAAGAGGAGGAGACAGTGCTTGGCCTTTTAGCCCCCTTTTTATGAAAGGAAACTCAATGCAAAGAATCCTGGGTAACACTGAACTGCACCCAGTGTGCAAGAGTAGGCAGACTAGGAACTGTGGCTCTTTAAGTGGCATTTAAATGCCCAGGACCATGCACTAATTTGACTAACATGTAAGTTAAGAGGCTATGAGCAGAGCTTCCTCAGACTAATGCGCTACACAAGAAACAACTCAGTCTTCCTTTTTGGTCAGGCAGTACCCACATGAAGCAGTAACTGTCCCACAGCCCCTCTAGTGCGCTAAGCCCAGGAGCATGGATATCTATGAAGATCTGCACCTCCTTCCCCATCGCATACACAAACGCTGCCCAGTTCACTTAATGACAGGGACTTGACACCTGAAAACTGCTGCAAGAGCTGCTGCTTCACAACTGCTCCCATGTGACAGGTTGAGACCAACCTAGGAACAGCTGATGGCATCTCATGTGGTTCTTCAGCACTCAGCAGCTCCACCAGGCTACACCAACAGCAGCCAGAGAGCAGTTTCCATTTGCTTAACGCAAGGCAGAGCCATCTACCCCAGCACACTGCACACAACTCACTCGGCTCTGCTGCTCCTTGGTGCTCATGGCCTGCAGCAGCTCCCGGATTTCAGCATCATGCTCCATGGTCTGACGGTTCCTGTCGCTGAGGAGATCCTGCAGCATCTTCTCCTTGTGCTGGAGACGCAAGCACAGCTCCTCTGCTACCTCGCTCTGCCCTGGGCCCAGCTTGCACAGCAGAGTTGCTGTAAGCTCCTAAACAAGGGGAGGAAGGGAGAAATGGAGAGATGTTGCTACCATCAAACTGCAAGCTGTTCAAGGACAAACAGTTCTTCAGCCTGGGTGTAGCCAAGAGAGCAGTGTCTCAGCAAGCACAGGTATTTACAGGTGCCAAAAGCAGCCAGCTTCCAAAGCAATGGGCACTGGTTCAAGTGCCTTCCTCGGAGGCAGGCAGCCAGGTGGCTCAGGTTTGGGACTCTCTCTGCAGACAAACTGGCTGAAGGCTCAGGAAGCCAAGCAAAGGCCTTACCTCCACTTCCTTGTTCCTGTCATGTAGGCAGGTCTGCAGCTGCTGGATGATCCCCTCCTGCTCCTTCTGCCTGCTGCAGGATTTGGCCTCAATCTCTTCCTTGAGCCAGCGGAGGTTTTGGCAGGTTGCTGACACCTGCTCTAGTTCCAGGGTTTTGGCTTTCAGGAGGCTCTCCAGGCTCTGGGGACCACAACAGAAGCAGCTCAACCAGGGACAGGGACTTTGTCCTGAATTAAGCAGAACTGGAAACACCAGTCTCTCCTACCAGTGGAGTCACACAGATTCACCCCCATCCTCTCCAGACACCACACTCACCTCTACATCCAGCCCAGAAACACAAGTGACACGGGAACTTGCCTCACACACAGGGCCAGAGGAAAGCCAACACACTGCAGCTGCCCTTTCCAGCGACAACCAGAGCATTCACAGGAAGGTTTGTCTAGCACCACACCACAGCCAGGCTGGACTCGGCATGCCCAGGTACAAGCACTCACATGAATGGTGGCCTCATTGCTGGATAGGACACTGCGCAGCCTCTCCAGGTCACCTCCACGCTCCCTTATTGAGAGACGGAGCTGTTGCAGCTCTTTCTCCTTCTTCTCCAGGGCACAGAACTTCTCATCTACTGCTCGCTAGGGTGAGAGATGATTGCTCAGAATGGGGTAGTAGGGCTCTGCAGCCCACCACTCGCTTTGTGGGGCACCTCAGCTCTCCCTTTCAGAGGACTCCTCTGGAAGGCTGAGCCACAAAGAGCACATAGAAGACACCGTCACCCTTTGGGTCAGCCTGGGGCTGCACTGCTGATGGTACGCAAAGGCTGAGCCACAAGGAAAACGGGGAGACAACACCAACAGACTGTGCTCACCTCCAAAGCAGCATCCCTGTCGCTGACTCGCTGCTGCAGTTTTTCAAACATCGCATTCATGGCTGCAGGGCTCTTATCCAAGCTTTGCTGGCATTGCAGAAGTTCCCGCGATTCCTAGAGGTCATACAAATACCCCCGCACTACAGTTGTCAGTCTAGAAACCCACCCACCCCCACCTCCCAACGGCAGCACAGGAGAATCAGGGCTAACTACCTCCACCCTACTCCCCAGCACCTGGGGCTGCTTGACTAGTACCTGCCAGGGCTTATCAGGCATTGCTGTGGGCTGAGGCGCTCAGATACCTGTGCCCTCTTCCTCGCCTTGGGAGCCCAGAAGCATCTCTTTCCTTCCCTTCTTCCAGTGGCATGCGTGAAAGCTACAGCCTGACTTTTGCATTGCCAAACAGCAAAAGAGGAGCAGGGACCCTGGCTACTTACGCTCAATTTGAATCTCTCTGCATCTCACCTGCAGAAGCTGTTCCTTGCGAGCTAGATGCTGACTCAAACACTGAACTCTCTGCTCCTGAGCCTGCAGCTCACGGCACTTCTCCCACTCCACAGTCTGGAGTTGCTGAGCCTTGTCCTGCAGCTCTGCCTGCAGCTGCTGTACCACAGCACGCAGCTCCTGCAAGGGAAAAGCACTTGGCAGGCAGTCTCAACAGACCTGTAAACAGCAGGCCAATCTGAAGAAGCCAAGGGCTGTGGGAGCAGCCAAAGATGCTCTGCAACACTACAGCTTTTACAACTCAAAATACACGTCCGTGGTGATGAAGTTCGAATTTGTTTCTTTTCCCAGGGTATCCACCCATCTAAACCCCTTACTCTGGCCACAGACAAGCTTTACAGTCAACCACAGCTAACCAGTGCAGCAGTGGACAGTAATTTTGTAACATCGCAAAGAGATGGGACATTTGTACCAGCCAAAGACATACAAGTGACAACGTACCCACTATCAAGTGTCTTTGCTGATTCTAAATCCTCAAATATGAAGCTAAGGAGGCTAGATAATTCTCCCTGCCATGTGACAAGGAGTTAGCCAAGTGTGCCCAGACTGGCGTAGGCAGAAACGATGAATGAGAGTGGAGTACTGACTACATCAGTGCTTCTTAAGTCATGCAAACCCAGAGAATTCCAATCTAAGTGCTCATCATACCTGGTTGTGTTTCCAGGTTGCCTCTTTCTGCTGCTCTTCCTCATGTACCATGGTCTCCAGGAGCTGGGTTGCTCTCTTGGCTTCAGCCACTTGATGCTCTTTCTGGCGCTGAGCTCTTTTCAGTTTCTGCACCTCCAGCTTGGTGCAGAAAAGCGTGTTCTGAAGATCTAGCAGTGACATTTGCTGCTCCTGGGATGAGAGTGGGCTCTCTGACATCTAACAAGAGTGGGAAGCAAAGAAACTGAAGATTCACTTCACAAGAGGGATTTAAAAATCAGGATCCCCGCAGAACGAAACCTGATGTATTTGAGGCTTTCCAGGGACATACCTGCAGCTGTCCCAGATGGCTTCTGTGTAACATGTCCCGCAGCTTGGCCATTGTCTCATTCTGCCCTTCGATGATATGGTATAGCTCTTCTGTCTGTGAGGCAAAGGATAGGAAGCCCAGTCATTGGCAAACCAAGCACAAACCCTCCAGTCCCAAGCCTCCAGTGTGGATTACGACACATGCCAGCATTGCAGGAAAGCAAGAGTGTCACAAGAAATAATTTAATGAGATCCAAGATGCATAGCAATGGCTTAAGCATTCCTTTTCAGTCACTGCCTACAGGGCTAGCGCACTTTCCTCTTTCAGGAAGCACCACCCTGTCTACCCAACACTATTACCTTACTTTCCTTGCTCTTCAGGGCCTCGTTCAGACTCTGGATTGTACGGTCTTGCCTCTGTGATGTTTCTTGGACAGTTTTTAATTCAAAATTCAATTCATTCAGCTTTTCCTGTAACAACTAAAGACAGAAATATGTTGTTTTGTTAATCCTGCCTAATGCTATACACAAACACCCTTAGGACTCCCTCCACTCCTTACTCAAGTCCAGGTGTTCACCAGATCAAGATCAGCACGGCTCGCTCTAGAGTCTGTAAATACTGTTTGAGCTGGGTGGAGACAGGTAAGTAAACACAAAGCCTTCAGTCCCTCCACAAGACTGTTCCAGTGCTTCTAGTTCCTCCAATGCAGCCCCCACATGGAGGGCAGAGGTTCAAGGCTTGGGTTCACATATCATACTCCAGGAGAGTCTTGCTCAGACCACCCTGCAGCCTTCCCTGTTTCTATCATTTGTTTCTGTTCCCTTAAGAGGGAAGGGCTGCTTCAGCCCCAAAATCTCCCAAGAGATCTAAACAAACAAACAAAAAAATCAATATGGAGAAGCTAGACATTCTGAAAAACTGTCCCCTTTGCTTCTGAGGTCCTCCAGAGCACTGTAGTTGCCTCTTTATGGTCTTCCAGCCCCTTCTCATATTGCCTCCTTTGACCACCCAGGCACTCTTGCAGCAACTGCTGGTCTAGGTAATTCCTCAACATAAGAAAGACATGGACCTGCTGGAGCGTGTCCAGAGGAGAGCCACGAGGATGATCCGAGGGCTGGAGCACCTCTCCTATGAGGAGAGGCTGAGAGAGTTGGGGCTGTTCAGCCTGGAGAAGAGAAGGCTCCGGGGAGACCTTATTGCGGCCTTCCAGTACCTAAAGGAGCCTACAGGAGAGCTGGGGAAAGACTTTTTACTAGGGCATGTAATGATAGGACGAGGGGGAATGGCTATAAACTGGAATAGGGTAGGTTTAGATTAAACACTAGGAATAAGTTTTTCACTTTAAGGATGGTGAGGCGCTGGCACAGGTTGCCCAGAGAGGCTGTTGAGGCCCCATCCCTGGAGGTGTTCAAGGCCAGGCTGGACGTGGCCTTGGGCAACCTGGTCTAGTGGGAGGTGTCCCTGTCTATGGCAGGGGGGGGGGAACGCGATGATCTTCGAGGTCCTTTCCAACCTAAACCATTCTATGATCAGATCAGAGGCTCATCTAGTCTCAAGTTCTGGCTTCATCACAACAGAGTCTAGCCAGCAACAGCATGGCCACAAAGCAAAGGGGAACATCTCACCAGTCTCCATGGCTGATTTACAACCTGAGAAACTTTTGCCTTTGACATTTTCACTGTAAAGAGACTACCATCTCAAACAGTTTTAGGACACTCCTCTGCTTTCACCATAGTGTTCATGACACAGCGCACGCTGTGCATTTAAGCAACTGCTTGTTAACATTTCTAAACATGCTGCCTGTTGGCATTCTTAGCCTTGGATGATACACACCTTCCTCAGAACTTACTCAAGCCTCAGTTTCTTAAGGAGTTGGTGCTGCCACGTGACTTCCTCTTGTTGCTCATTAGTTTACACACCTGTCATGTTATCTCTTCTCTAAGAGACACTCCACCTAAACTGTTTATAAACACTTCCAACTGCATTTACTGGGCCTTGGGCCTCTATTTCCCTGTCAACCTTTGAGGTCCAGGCAGCTCCAAGAGCTTACAGCTGTCCCCAGATTTAAATAAAGATCCCATTCCAATGTTTTTTTTCCCATTTAACCCCTCTGTTTTCCCAGCAAGTATAATCTACCTTAGATTTCAAGAGCATAACTAAGAACATCTACCCCTCAAAACGTGTTAAATCTGATCTGCCTCAAGACAATTCAGCTGCATGTTTCCTTCCTAAGAAAGCCTTGAAATCTAAATGAAAAGAGGATCACCCCTGAGCTGATCTCCTTTACTGCTTGTAAAAAGGAAGGCAGCTGTCTCAAATGGCAGGTGCCTTCCTCTCCTGCACCAGGCTCAGCCTATGCAAATCCAAGAGACAGGGAAATAGCCCTATGCATCTCGCATCCACCGGCTCCCAGAAGGCTCACCAGGCAAACGGGAAGTTCCTCCAAAAGACTGGTTTGCAAAAGTAAATATGGAAAATTTACACAGCACAGCTGCAGAAAAAAGTAAATGCTTTTAACTCAAACTGGCAGACAACAGCACTGAGAATCATGTGTAAGCACACACCCCCTTGCTATAACAGAGGTGCAGATGCCCGTCTCGCCAGGCTAGGAGGAACCCTCCAACACTAACTACATCAGACTCACTAGGCCCCGAATTTACTGTTCATGAAGAAATACCTTGTTGGCAGCTTCAAACTGCTGGATTTTGCCCTGCAGCTCTGCAGCACGCAGATCGGACACATGCTCTCCCACTGCGGGGTCACCTGGAGCCGGCTGCTGACGATCATCCTGCAAATTCTAGAGAAAAAAAAAAAAGGATGGGGGGAGAAATGGCTCGTCTTGTACTGGCTTCTTCTATTCAGCTGTCAGCCCTCAGACACATTGCAGCACAGGCTTAAATATGCCCCACTGGGCTTTTCTAACTGCCTCTGAAACATCATGCTGCCCGTGTTTCCTTTCACTTGGGTGGCAGGCTGGCACCTGGCAACTCTCTGCCTGACCTGCCAGAAGTTCCCTGCTGCCCTAAGGCTCTGGCTGGGCTCCCTGTCTCTCCTCATTTGGGTACTGTGAGCCCAGCAGCTTGTTTGGCTCTAACCACTGTCTGCAGTCTGATGGCGGATCTGCTCCCCACACCCAAGTCACATCCCTGAAACCTCTCTCCGTCCTACATACCCTGCTGGCAGCTGCAAAAATGCTTCAAAACAAAGCCAGCACCAAATCAAACTCCTTCCATGTTCTGCCAAGCTTTTCCTCCTTAATCAAGCCCAGAACCTTCAATCCTTCCCACCAGCTACCCTCCTGCTGTGACCTGGCAGTCCCTCCCCCGACTCTGAACCCCTCCACTTGTGATTCTCTGGGCTCTCCTTCACAGCTCCCCGTGCTCCAGCACCCATGCCACCTGCGATTCCCTGCAGCTTCATGAGCCGTAGCAAATTCAGTGCCACAGCTGAGATTTTTTTTCATGACGCATACCCATTTACTGAGAATGAAAACAGCCTACTTTCTGATGCTGGCCTGCCAGACCCTGCTGGCTGAGCACACATTAATCCCTTGTCATCCCTTCTTACCCTTGTGCTACCTCCCGCCTAGTGAGTTGTTAACCCCCGAGAGCAGCATTCAAACCAGCCACTCACCCCAGCCCTCGCAGGGCTCGTTAAGTATTCCTGAATATTACCAGCAATACAAGATCGATTGTACTGGTGGCTGTTTCAAGTGGGAGCCCTGGCAAGTGCAGGGTTGCGGCGCAGAGGCTGTAAGAACATGGCAGAGCTTTTCAGAGCACACACAGGAGCGCCAGCCCCAGGCAGCACAGCTCAGGGAGAACAACAGCCTACTCTGATTAGCCCTATCAAACTAAATCCTCATCTTCAGCAGCCACAGAAACGCTGTCTCTTGGAAAGACAGGCAGCGCAGGGGAGCTCCCCCTGGCCTGTGCATTGCCTCTCACACACAGAAGCATCCATACAGAAGCAAAGCTTCCCTTTATCCTGATGTTAAGATTTTAGGGAAAACTTAAACAGTCATAGCAAGTAATTTCAAATTTGCCCAGCCAGAAGGCTTCGAATCAGACAGAGAAAGCTGCTGGAATCTGTTACACAGCAGCTATTTTGAAATAAGGTTGATGAAAAGAGAACAGAAGGGGGGGGGGGGGAAGAAAAAAGAAAAAAAAAAAGGAAAAGGCACCTTTCCTCACAATTTGCACATTCCAAAGAAAAATTAGCAGAAAGCCGGCAAAGAGCTAAGAGCAGGGAGGGGAAGGGCAGAGCCAGCTCCAGAGTCCAAAGTCCCAAAGCCCAGGCTGCCTCCCTCGTGCTTCACCGCAGCCATGTCAGGAGCTCGGCTCCCCACTGGTTTCTCCTACATCAGCATTTTACTGACAGTCTGTCCTCAGTACAGCTCCGCAACATCAGCACACACTGACCTAGACAGAACACTTCTTTAAAAAAAAATAAATAATAATAATCATGGCATTATCTAAGCCTGCCAAGCTCACATCTGCCCAGAACAGTGGGTAAAAGATGGTCTCTCAGTCAGGGAACACTTCCCTCACTGCCAGCATGCCACCACAGGCAGCTGCAAGAGTGTGTGTGACGAAGGCTGGGTTTGGTGGCATTTTCCTGGGGCTGCGGTGATGAAAAGGAAGAATTGTTGGTTCAAGGAAACGTCCAAGACAGTACCTATAAGATCACGTGCCCTGACACCAGATCTCTTGGTCATCGTAGCTTACAGCAGTAAATTTAAAGGACAACTGCAGTTTCCCAAAAGCAATGAGGGAACAGTGGTCCTATACATCCTACATATTCCATTCACATTACCAGAAAGGCATTTATGCATATGAATCGCTGGACAGCAGTACCCAACTTTAAGAAAGAGTATTGTTCATACAAAGAGAAAGAAAAATCATCTATACAAGAACCATTTAGTTTACTAGCTGCACCTGACTTCCTTTTTGCTGTTAAAGCCGTGCGAAGGATTAAGCACCTTCCCCCTTCTGCCAGACCCTGCACCGAAGCCCACAACTGCTGCTGCCGCCATGGCAAGAAACGGGCAGTAAAAAATCCCACAGGATGAATTCCTGGCAGGGACGGTCAGATGACAGAGGCTGGAGGTTGGAGAAACTCTTTTAAAGCAGTTCCAAGAAGAGGATGGAGAGGCGTGACACAAAGCCAAGCTGTAAACGCGCCACGTTGATTGTGCCACGTTCTGTTAAGAGAAAGCCTATTTTTACACTGTAAATATATCCCTAGCAGTGAAAATTAGTAGCAAGCAACACAGACTACAGGAGCAGCAACGCCCTGCTTCACATCTTCAGTTGCTGGCTGCCAGCGTGATGCCTTTGTGCACCAGATGAAAATTAGTTTTTCTGCATTCCTCCCTAGCATCATCTCTTGAGCAGGTTTTAATGGGAAAAGCACACAGCTCTGGAACCGCCCGAGCAGATGGGACAGCAAGCAGTCCTGGCTGAATAGGAAGCTTAATTCAGCACAGCTACAGTTTCCATAGTAATAAACAAGCATTTTTCTAATCCCCCAGGCTACCTACAGCATTAGACAGCACTAAGGCTGCTAATGGGAATGCAATTAGGCTGACACGGATATTCCTGAATTGAAGTTGACTGAGGCCTTCTATTCATTAAGCAAAGTGGTAAAGGAGTTACAAGTTCAGCTTTTTGACTGCGTACTAATGAAGATTTCATTAAAGCAAGCAAAACAGAGGCAATCTAGAGCTACACCAGGACGACCATTGCGGCAGATAACAGCACCAGGAAGTCCCGTGAAAGCAGGAGCTTTCATCACGTCTCAGCAACACCTGCCGTTAATTGACGAATCTCTTCAAAGGATCAGAAAATAAACCAATTATCTAGAATACCAACCCTAAAGTCATCCTCTGGCACAAATCCACCTGCAAGGAAAACACCTTTTCCTCAGGGCAGGTGCCACAGATCCCTGTGCGGATCTACACGTTTGGCGGGTTGGAGGCCTGATGTGCAGAGGCAGGGCTCTGGAGACAGGCGATCCTGACACTGAACCATTACCCGGACACAAAGAAAACACATTTGCTGGAAAACACATGCCCAGAAGCTTGAAACACTCCCTTTGGTTGTGGGCAAAAGTCACACTGCTTTCTTAAAGGGAAAGCTGAAGTGAAACTGGTGTTTTCTCAGCAGACAAATGACAAAGCATGCAAAGAGCTTACACCCATCTAGCAAGCTGCATTGACAGGGAGAGCTGATGGAGGCGGGGGGGAAGGTTAATTTCCCAGAACACAAGGAGGAAACAGACTACAGAAAACGACAGAGAGAGGCAGCACACCTAAAAAGGACCGCTCTGCCTATTCTTAGCCCTGGGTTCAGCGACACGTGGCTATCTATTATCTCAGCACAGAAGAATCCCTAGTGGGCTCAGTGTCAGGCTGCACGGACGCTGCTTAATCGAACGGCGGCACAATGACCTCTACCTGTACCCGCAGCGGCATATAATCCTCACAGAGGTCATCCCACAGCTCCTGTAGTTCAGATATCTCCAGGGAAAGACCCAAAGGAGCTCTGGAAAAAGATTTTCTGTCTGCGTTCAGAAAAGCAGAACCAGCACACGCTAAGCCAGCAGAAGCGCTGCCATCTGCCAAGTCACGACTGAGCTTGGGAGGGGGCAAGGTGGACTTCACAGGAATAGGTAGCCTGCTGCCTCGGGGGCTCTGAAGGGGTTTGTAGTCCAAAGCCTTGATCAAGCTGAGGGCCAGCTCCAGCCTGTTCCCACCCAGTGAAGAGTTTGGGGTCATCCGGTCATCTGAGAAATCATCACATTTCCCATTTCCTTTCACTCCCTTATCTGCATCTTCGTCTTTCTGCTGCGGAGGGCTCGTCTCCACAGTCGTGTCCAGAGACTCAACGGAGGAGGCAGGTGTGCCCTCCTCCATGCTCTCCCCATCCACAGGCCCTCTGGTACTGGCAGACTCCACCACGTCACACACAGATGACTCCTCGTTGCCCATGCTGGCTGACCACCGGCTGGACAACCCACAAGAGATGCTTCTGGCCACCTTTCGCGGCACTTTGCAAATTGCTTCGTAGTCAGCATCGGCCACCCGCAGCGCGGCACAGCCACGGCAGCGCCGTGGGCGGTTACTCGCTCCCTCTGAAGCGTGGCAGCTGTGTGGCTCCAAGCTGTGCTCTTCTTGATCCGTCCAATATTCATATCCAGAATAAGCAAAATCCTCCTGAAGGAGGGCAGCGTACCGTACATCAGGCAGGCTAGAAAGGTCCACAGTCCCATCCCCAGCTCTGTCGTCTGCGTTAGAGTCTTCGTTGTTCCTGCGGTACATGCTTGCGATACAGAACTTGAGGCGGTCTTTCTCCAGCAGCAGTTTCTGCAGGCGCTCGATGGAGAGGGCTTCGATGCGTGCAATGACGGTGTCGAACCTGTAGATGCGGTCCAGCATGAAGGCACATTTGCTGCAAGCGAACTCGGATTTGCCATCCCGGCACAGCTCCCTGCCCAGGACGTGGGAGAGCAGCACCTGGAGGTTCAGCTTGGCTGCCGTGTGGAAGATCCATCGCCGCTGGTTGCCGCACAGCTCCCGGGCACAGATCCGGCAGGTTTCCTTCATCCTCCCTCCCAACCAGCACCTATACCTACTTCTGGGGGTTCTCAAGAGACCTTCTTGAGGCCTCTACTGCTCAGCGCATCTCCCGGGGCACAGCTCCCTCAAGCCCTGAGCCCACCGGCACTTCTCACCCCACCAATCTCCCCTTCTTAGGGGGGTGACAGAGACTCCTGGTGCTACAGAAACATCCCACCCTACAACACCTTCACATCTCAGCCCAACCACACTAGGGCTGCCCCCCTACTCCTGGCTGCCCCCCCCCACTGCCCCTCCCCTCTTCGCTGCCTCCCTCTCCTCACAGCTCCCCCCGCTCCGAGGCTGCCCCCTCTCTCCTCACTTGCCCCCCTTCCCCGGGGCTGCCCCTCACCCCGGGCTGCCCCCCTGCCCCACAGGCCCCGCCGCTCCGCCTCCCCCCGCCGCCGCCGCCGAGGATGCTCCTGCCACGGCGGCGCCCGGCTTGTGGCTCAGATTTCAAGATGGCGGCGCACAAGGGCCGCCACGCATGCGCAGCCGCCGCAGTGCCTGCCGGGATTTGTAGTCGCCGCGTCCCCGGGTTGCGCATGCGCAGTGGTTGCCCGCGGCCCGCCCCGTGGGACTGCCACAGTGCGGCGCCGGGGCGGTGACACTGCCAAGGACAGCGACGGGGACAGCGACAGCGACAGCGACAGTGCAGGCCCCGTGCTGGGGCCTAGCCCCAGTGCCGGCGCCCCCCCACTAGTGCCTGTCACCAGTGTCAGTGTCCAGCCCAGTGCCAGGTCCCCACCCCAGTGCCAGCGTCACCTACCAGTCCCAGTGCCAATGCCCAGCCCCAGCAGGCAGCAACGGGAGGCCGTGTACCCGCCACACAAGGCCACCAGCACCCATGCACCAGTACCCGCAAGGCGACCCGTGCTACCCAGCGGGCACACAACGGGGTCCCCCGGTGGGGCCACCGCAAGGGCAGCTCATGCACTGATGGCCCATGGCTGCCTGGGACAGCACTGTGCCACCAAGAAGCAGCATGGCCAGAGCCCTGCAGATGCCAGGAACATGCTGCTCTGATCCTTCACAGCCTCAAAGTCCCGCCTGGCACCCCACCGGGTTCTCGGGGGTATTTTAAGATCCAGGATTTAAATGGCAGACAGGCGGCACTGACACCCGCAGAAGGACTGCGCAGGCTGGTGGCCTCTCCCCCGACACCGCGCACCGGGTCCTCCCAGTCCCCCTGCTCCCCCCAGCGCCGCGGCACAGCTGTGAAAACGTCCAACGCTGCTGGGCTGGACATGGCATAGCCCTGGCCACAGCCCCAGAAGGGAACAGGGATGGCAACTGCCAGCAGAGTC